GGGGTGGGGGTGCCGAGGAGGGGGCAGGACAGCCTGCCACCCCCGCCGCTCACTCCCATCCCCGCCCTAGTGGGAGCGGCTGCCGCAGGCTCAGGCGCGCCTGGAATTCGGCAGCGGCGGCCGCGAGCCCAGGCCCGTCCGGACCAGCCTGGGGCGAGCCGCGTCGGGGGCGGGGGTGCAGGCTGAGCTCTGATTTCTGACCTTGTGTCCCCCCGCCTCGCCCTACACCAAGTTTTGGGAAGTGATCAGCGACGAGCATGGGATCGACCCGGCCGGAGGTTACGTGGGCGATTCGGCGCTGCAACTGGAGAGAATCAACGTCTACTACAATGAGTCATCGTGTGAGTAGCGCGGCGCGGTCGGGTACCCGCCCGGACCACGACCCTTCCCCTCCGGACCCCGCCCTTCCCCTCTGGACCCTGGCCATCGTCGCCCCGACCAACCCTCCCGGACCCTCGGCCATTCTCCTCCTGGACCCCGCCCTTCGCTGCGGGACCCCGGCCTTCACCGGTCTTCACCCGGACCGGCGTTGGTGCTCGGGGTGTGCCTTCACGCGAGGGTAGTTTGCTCTAGGAAAAGTTCATCCGGAATCTAACAGGATGCTCGGCTCCACCCTCACTCCCGTTGGGGCAGGAAATGCGCGGTCAGTTTATTTCAAATAGCCCAACTGCGCGCGTCTGAGCTTTTGAACCAGACCACCCGTTTGTGTTGTGAAATCAGCTTAGTGGGTGATACCCGGCTTTACTTTTTTATTTTTTGCAGTTTAAGATGTATCTCTCAATGGAGGTTCTTGGCTAAAAATTTGAAAAGCACCCCCTTAAACGAATTTTTGGACCTTTGCTGACCTCCAAAAATACTTTACGCTCCCTGCAAGCTGAAACTAGACAATTGTGGGTAATTGTCTTATGGGCTTTAGTAAAAATCCAGGCTGTCGTTTATCCAAGTTTGAGAATAATATCACCCCTATCCTGGATTTCTACATATAATATTGTGGCTACATGTGTATATTATCTCTGTAACAATTATGATTATAAAAATGATACATGCCCTTCAAGTCAACAACAAAAAATCCATTAAAAGAATGCCCAGAAAATGATAGATGCTTCCCTTTCACACAGGATATATATTCCCAGAGATAATCACTTTCAGTTTTTTAGAGTCACAAACTACTTGTCCACACAAAAGCTAAGTAGAGCAGGATACATAAATCACTGGAATTTACTCATTAAGCAGCTATGACAAAAGGTCTGGAACAGCAGGGGCAAGAAGATGAAATTTCTAGTAGCACTAAGGAAAATTCCAGTATACATTGCACTTCCTGGTAACCCTTAGGTCCAGCTTAGTAACATCCTTTTTTCATTCTGGGTGTGTGCGTAGCAGGACAAGAGTTGTAGAGCAGTTCCTGTGTGCAGTCATATTAACCCTGTCCTCACTGAGAACAGCTTGCTCAATTGGCACAAAAGATTGCATACAAATGAAAATGCTACACAGTGGCACTTATTCATAAGTGAGAGTGTCTCCCAGGAAACAGCCCATGGAATGGTACCTATAACGAGGTACTCAGAGTATAGCTTGGGTCCATATATGTGTGTGCATGAGGGAGGTGCAAAAAGCAGAAAGAATGCCATGGCAGGATGGCAGTTGGCCTCAACAGATAGCAGTTTATTCCCATTAAGCAGAAAAAGTAAAATACCCAACAGGAAAGAGGTGTCAGGGTAAACTGGAAAATATAAGAGGCAGGAAGTCAGAAGACCTGATTTCTCACTCTGTTTATTCCTGGAACTTCTCTGTGCATTCATGCCTGGGCTGGTTTCCTCATCTGAACAATTCAAGGGTAGGATTACGTTTGCTCAGTGCTAAGATTCTGTGATTCTAAGAAAGCCAGGTACTCTCTCTGAAGAAACCCTGCTTCATACATTCAAGGCCGCCGTGCTGGTGGGACTTGCTGTAGGGATGTCCATTGCTCTAGAAACCAGAAAGTGACCCTTGTGGGTGGACTTTGTTCTCTTCCAGCTCAGAAATATGTGCCCAGGGCCGCCCTGGTGGATTTGGAGCCAGGCACCATGGACAGTGTGCGGTCTGGGCCTTTTGGGCAGCTTTTCCGGCCTGACAACTTCATCTTCGGTAGGTTCCATCCTTCCTGCTTTTTTCTTTCTTTAAACATAAAATTAATTTATGTGCAAGATTAAATATATCACACAGCGTAGAAAAGCTTAGGATGAAAATCACGTTCCAGCTTCATCACAGGCATCTCTTTAAAGTTTTGACTTTTTCTTTAGGTAAGTAACCTCTGTATCTTTCAATGAAATGCTTATATTGATAGTTGTTTTTATTAAAAAAAAATTTAGACTTTAAATTATTATAATATGATAATAATTGTTTTTGATTCTTATATTACTCATCTTTTACTTCAATGTGTTTCTACCTATATTTCTTTCCCATTATCTTTAGACTGTTATTCTGCTTTCTTTTTAAAGACTGGTCCATATGAGTTTTGTTTTATCAGAATTGGGCAAATCAGCCCCTCCCTTCTTCTACCTAAAAAATGATAATAGTGCCTGTCCCTCAGCAAACTCCTAAAAAATAATTATATAAAATTAAATGAAGTGGCACCATTAGTGTTATCAGCCTCCATCACCATGTAGTCATGGGTTTTAGTGTCAAGGTTACTTCAAAGTATACAAGAAGGTACAGAATCTTGGAAGATTTTATTGATATATAAATTGATCACCTTGTAGCAGAATCAGGCAGTGACTTGTTAGAAAGGTGACTCAGCAAGATGAACATTCTCAAAATGTTCATGAGTCCTCTGGGTGTCATCTGCTTCCCCATCACCATGACAACCTACAAACCAATGGAACAGGTAAAGCTTCTGATGGTAATTTGTTCAAGGGTTTTTTTTCTTTTTTGATATTTCAGATAGACCAAGACTACACTTTCTGGTACCCCTTTTCTTACATCAGAAAACCTAAATGACCAATATTTTTATAGTAAACAAATGGAGACATTTATATTCTTTACCTTTTGCTGAAATAGAGACTGTAATTGGCCCCAAGTAAAGATGCATCTAGACTCTGCTGCCCAATATGGTAGCCACTAGCAACATGTGGCTATTTAAATTTAAGTTAATTAAAGTTAAAATTAATTCCCTTCCTTAGTTGTACTAGGTATATTTCAAGTGCTCCATAGTTATGTGTGGCTAGTGGCCACCATATTGGACAGTGTAAATATAGAACAGTTCCGTTACTAAGGCTGTGCTCACGGCCTTAATACAGATATTCTACCAAATTAGAGGAATGAAGAGAGAAAATGAAAAGCCACTATGCAAACACATAGCCATTCATAGACATTTCTATCTTAAGACTGGTGGCAGATTTGAAAGTTTTCCATCAGACAATTGTATTTTAATGTTAGTCATCACATGCTCATTTATATTATTTTTCAAAAATTACCATTAAGAAATGCGCCTAGAGGGGAAAAAATATTGTTTATCGACAGAAATACCCCAGTCAATCAACAAACACAATTTTAATACCTTTAAAAGGCAAAGTGTCTGACAAAGAAGTAAGATAATCTTAAGGCTGATTCCTGGCTTAAAGGCACTATGATATAGAAATTGAATATATCAAAAATCTACATTGCAACCTCTTCTTCAAAAGACACCAGGTAGAGATGGTTTCATTGAGGGTAACCTCTGTTATTTAAAACGTGTTTGGAATACTTCATTCATAATAAATGCTTAATAAGTATTAGCAACATTCTAGGAAGTTAAGGATGGTTCAACATTAAGAAGTCAACTAATAAAGAGAGACAACATCTTGATGCCCAAAAGTATTTGATAAAATTCAGTATATGTTCCTGATTTGTAGCAGACAAACTTCTGTGTAAGCTGGAATTAGAATGAAACTTCCTTTATTTAAGAATTATCTATCTAATCTATATTCACTGGTCAAGCATTGGAAGTGTTCCCAACAAAGAGAGGTATAAAAAAAAGATGTCCACGGTCTCTTCTATCTTTCCATGTTCCAAAGGCTCTGGCCAGTGTACAAAGGCCAGAGAAAGAAAAGAGCTACAAATCATTTAAGGGAAAAGACAGAGTTGTTATTGTAAATGGAATGAGTCTTGGAGTTTCCAAACGGGCTATCCGTGGAATAATGACTAGCACTTATGACCTCAGTAAGGCAGCCAGACACAAGATAAAAACACTTATACAGACATTATTGCAATAGGGTGACCTGACCTGATTTGCCTGGGACTGGAGGGGTTTCCCAGGACCCTGCAAATTGAAACTGGTACAGTCCCAGGCAAACTGGCACAAATTGATCACCTGAATGGCAATAATTATAAAATATAATAGGAAAATATTCTATTCACAATAGCAATAAAAGTTACAAATATCCAGGGACAAAATTTATTAGTAATTGGGAATGAGGAAGAGTCAGTTAAAGGCAAATGATATTTTTCTCCTATCAGATTGGCCAGTATTTTAAGAACTGCCAATAGCTAGTGTTGGTGAAGGCATTTGGGGGAATAACAGTTTTAAACGTTCAGAGAACAACTTAATACATTCAGCAAATCAAGAATTTTAATTCAACAGTTTCAGTTCAAGTAATTTGTCCTGCAGAAATGCTTGCATGTGCGACATGGACTTTGCACATCAGTCTCTCAAAGAGCTGAACCCCATTCGCATGGCCTCCCGTGGTGTCCAGGTACTCGGCAGCCCCTTTGCCAGTTCAGTGCATTGCTCCCTGCATTCTGTGATAAGGACTTGGCTGGGATAACATTAATATTTCGTATGCCGAGGAGAGAAAAAGGACAACTCTCCCTACTTTCTTTTTATAGATCAGCACTATCTTTCACTTTCTCTTACTAAGCAGGTATGGGCTATTGGCAGCTATAGACGTTCTGAACCACCTTGCTGGGTTACTGAGTTAGCGTAGCCAAGAAGAGAGATCACTGAATCAGGAGAAGGGAAACTTGGTTAAATTAGCTCTGCCACCTTTGATGGTGTCACCAGTTCCTTTCCCGGGGCTTCTTCAGCTTTGCAGACTGGAACGAAGGGCTTACCTCCGTAAAAATACACCTCCATATAAAATTGTGCTCAAAATTTCTTCCTTTGAAGGTTCAATGGATTTTTGGTAAGAATCAGAGAGATTATTTAAGGTTTCTTGAATCTGAATTACAGTTGACTGAATCCAGTTGGTCTCAGTAAACTTTACCAAACAAAATGAATATATTTCATCATTAAGAAAAGTACACTTTTTTTTGATAGGCAGTACATGTATGTATATGGTACGAAATTCAAAAATACTGCAGGTTATTCAGTGGAAAGTTAGTCCCTCTCTTCTCTGTCCACCTGCTTCCCCTCCCAGGAGACCAAGTCCTGTTGCTGACTTTGTGTCCTTCCTGAAGCACATTAGAAGTGAATATGTGAGTTTGTATATAAAAATATCTTAAAGCTTTATGTAAAATACATTATTTTTCCTGCTTCTAAGAAAGATATGAAACAACATATAGTAAAGACAACCATGAAACTTGGCAGTTTAAAACACAGTCAGCCATGAGAGTTAATTCAGTTGTGCCTGATGAATAACTTAAACTCTGGGTTTCTGGCAACTAAATTCAAAAAAGGAAGCATAGTAAGGGACATGGTTGTTGTCATCATTTCATAAAGGGATACATCCAGTCTTAAAAAGGGAAATACCCCTGCATTCTAAATTATTTGTGTTTATTTTTACTTTGCTTTTTACAGCAAAAACTTATATAGCCACATTATTAAAAATTAAAAACTAGAATGAATTATTCCGTATGCTCAACCTAGTATCATTATTGTTGGCAATGAGGTGTATTTTCACCTTTTGTTTCTTTCCTTTTGCTGATTTTCATTAGTTGTCACTTTGTATCTTATTTCTCACTGAATATTACATTACAAGTTATGATCCCTGTTCATATGTTGTTTCTAAAATCTGTAATAATTTTTAATAGCTACATAATGTATAATTATTTACCTAACAATGGCCAATAGCCAGGGAATTGTTTCTTACCAATTTTTGCTCTTATAAAGAACATAGTAATATAGAGTATAGATATTCACATCTTGGTTCACATAAATTTGTTTGTGTTTCTGACTCCGATCATAGAATAGATTCTCAGAAGTAAAATTAGTGGGTCAAAGAGTGTGAACGTATTTAATTAACCCTTTATTCATTTGCTGTAGTCTTTCTAGTCAGATATTGCCACCAGCAGTGTCTGAGAGCAGTTTTTGCTTTGCTTTTGCCTGAAATGAAAGTTTTAAAGAAATGTATCAACCACATACTTTTTCTAGCGGGACTCTTAGCACCATAATTGACAATACTCTAACATTGCTTGAGGAAATGTAAAAACAATTCTGAATCTTGCTGTTCTATGTATATGTTATCAGTATAAAAAAAGAAACACGCACATATAAACAGGACTCACACATAAAGAAACCTAAAGACAATATTAAATGAAACTCAGTGAACCCTGTTCTCGGAGAAGGTTGGTCAGTTGAACACCCACCTCCGCACACGCACACCCCTTATTGCTTTTTGAGAGAAAATAAAAAATCTAATAGGACACCAGAGGCCACAGGCCTTCTCTGCCTTGCTTTCTCACTTTCCCAGCCGAGATGTCTGCTCAGGAGCCAGGCTTCACTCTTGGCCATCACTCCTGTGTAGTCAGGCCTTGTTGAGGTTTTAAAGAGAGTCAAATCCATGAACTGATTTTTACATAATTGAATCATCACAGGCTATTGAAGTCATGGTAAGCCAGCTTCTCAGAGCAGCAGCTCTAGCAGTCGTGGATGTTTTCTGTGTTTTAATAAATTTGAAATGAATATTGGGAGTGTAAGAAAAGTCTGGTCTTGTTTTTCTAGGTGTCAATAAGTGAGATCCAAAAGCTTAAGAACAAATTAAGATGGGCCTATAGTAACCATTTAATTATCTAATTTACTGTCCTTATAGACCTTGAAAAATGTTAGATATGATATTTGGCATTTAAATTCTCTCTAGGATTACTTCTTGCATCTTTGCGTCTTGCCAGAACATGCGTCCCTATTTTTTGATTAAGAATATTTAAAATTTTTAACAGTTTGTACTGATGTG